GGGGCGGGGCGGGGCGGGGCGAGGCGGCGTCGCGCAACTCCGGAGCCGCGCCGCGGGCGGGGCCCGGGACCAGGAGGGTCTCCGGGGAGACAGAGAACAGGTCTAAGTGAGGACGGGTCAAGAAGACGGACACTCTAGCCGCTCCCTTGGGTGGACCGCTCCAATTCTGGTCACGGACCTTGCCGGCGGCGGTGCGGGCGGCCCCAGCACACCCACAGACGGCTGAACTTCCTCCTAAGATCTAGATCGGCTGGATGAACAACAAGGCGTCGAGCGGACGCCCCGCTGACCAGCATCGTTTGCATGTCCAATGGGGCCCGGGCCGGAGGTCCAGGGGGCGCGTGTAAGTACACGGCTCAGGCCGGCCACGTGGAGAGAAAGGGGTCTCGCTCCCCGCCACGCTGACAAGGGTACCCGCCAAGGGGCAGTACTCACCAACGCTGTACTCGCAGGCCGGCCCGAAGAACACGTGCGCGCAGTCGTGCGCGTACGAGTCGACGGCCGAGATCTGGCCGTAGACGGCGTCGCACTTGTCGTCGCCGGGCAGGAACGAGAGGAGGTCCAGGGGCCAGAGGCCGCGCCGGGACACGGCCTCGGCGGCCAGCGCCATGACGGGCAGCACGCGGGGCAGCGCCACCTCGTACTGGTCGGCGTCGCGGGGCAGCAGGACGGCGGCGCGCACCGGGCAGGCCGCGCCCGGCGTGCACGAGGCGCTGCAGCTGCGCCGCACCGGCCGCACGTCCAGCTCGCACCGCGCACAGCTGCAACAAGACGACAGACACGGTGAGAGCGGGGCCTGGGGGCACCTGACTGCAGCTGCGCGGTCAACGTGGCAGCTGCGCTCCCGTAGGAGAGCCGGAAAGCGTGGGTTGTTTGTCCCCGTCCAGAAGAGCTCGGCGGGGGAGGGTTTGGCTTATTGGGCGACTTGTCTAGTAGTCCGCCTGCCCCTCTCCCCCCACCCGCCCGCTGGTACCCGATTGGGGGGAGGGGGCACTGAATAAATTGGTATCGATGTGCCGGCTGGCAGGAGAGCGATACCTAAACTTATATTTGTTCCATAAAGTTTTGCAAAGAAGGGAGGGAGGATGGGGAAAAAGGAAAAGCGAGGGAGGCGTGACAAGTTGAGGCAGTTAACAACCGGGCTCGTAACAGAGGGTGTGGCAGGGAGAGAGGGAGAGGGGGCTGACAACTACCCAAGGGTATATCCCGTCGAACATGCGGTGGCCAGAATGACGTCGTCGACACGCCCATCCAACCCACCCCTTTTTTGCGACCGAGTTCAAAGCAAAGGAGGTGGAGACGAGCGTGGCTATGGCAACCCTACTACGCAAAGATGGGAGAGGAAGGGAGGGAGGAGGGGAGGATGTCCCGGTGGTGCCGACGGAACGGGTATGGGTATGACGGGGAGACGTTCACAGCCCGGACTACTGCCGCTCCGCCCATCGACAGCATCGATAAGGGCCCCTCGCATTAGCGTCAGGCGCGTCCGGGCGTGGTGGCGCGGGGGCGTGGTGCGGGGGCGTGGCG